AAATATTTTATATTATTATACTGTATATGGATAACTCATCAAATATATGCAATCATTTAGTTGCAACCCTAGCCGACTCAATATTCTGTATACACTAAATTAGAAATCACACATATAAAGTGTGGATTTCCTGCTTGCCATCTCATACCATGGCAAATTACATAGTCCTTTGGGTAGAGTTTCTTCATCTGAAACAAATGGGTCTAAGAATGGAAATGTCTAAGATTCAAACAAGATTGGCCATGCAAATTCTTGAGAGCCTGTGTATCTGACTCATAGTATATATGTAATAGTTTGACTTCCATTGCAGTATAAAAATAACTGTTAAGAGAACAGCAGTAGTGTGCACTAGCACTGGAACTTCTAAGTAATCTTGTTGACACTCCCAGGAAGTCAGAGAGCTGTTTAAATAGGTTTCTAATAGTCACTGGAATGAATCATTTCAACATCATAAAGAAGTATTTCTTCAGAAGAATAAGATTGTAGGCTTGGGTTTATGGCTCAGTGGGTAAGAGTGCTTGTGGTACAAGCATAAGATCTGGAGTTAAAATCCCCAGCACCCACAGAAAAAGTCCAGCATGACAATGGGCAGTCCTGTCACCCCAGCACTGGGTGGGAGGCAGAGACTGGAGGGTCGCTGGTCACCAGTCTAGCTGCAGGTTCAGTGAGAGACCCTGTCCCAAGGGCATAAGGGGAAGAGTGATGAACAGGACCTCTGCACATGCCCTCCTATGGCCTCTGCACATGCCGTCATACTTGAACACATAACTACAAACATACACCTCCACACACTGCCACAAATACACAAAAACTAGTTTTAAAAAAGAAGGCAGCTATAAAGGTAAGTGGTTCGTAGCATATTACAGGAACAATTCAAGTACTTTGGGATTTATACATTCACTTCAAAGTCATCAACTTTATTTGTTACATTGAATCTGAACTGATCATTCTAATCTAGCATATGATCAAAATTTTCCCATCTTGCAACTTTCCAATGGCTCCTATTTTCTTCTCAGAATACATTCCAACTCCTAATATGATCAAGGCCATATGATATCACAGCTTATTCCCTCCAACTCATCATCTTCATAACCTGTGTTCTTCAAAATTAAGTATTAAGCAGAGGGAATTGTATGCCATGACATTTTCTTGCTAGTATAGAGCTCCTCTGCTTAGGTCAGGATCCCAGAAGTTGCAACTCAAGGAGCCAGAAACTCCAGTGGGTCATTTGATGAAAGTGACCACACTTTATCAGCTCTAACAGCAGTTGGGGCTCAACTCTCCAACAGTAATTGTGATTTAAGCCGCATTATCACCTAAAGTTCTGAAGACCTAAATTCCAGTGTAGATTGTGAGGACAGGAGAGGTTCAGCTATGGGTGTGTTTTGTGATCTTGCTGTTAGATTAGATTATACTCCTTATCCCCACATTGCTTCTGCTTCCACATTCTGTATCTCATTTCCTCTCACCTTATCCCTCTATTCGGTCTGGAACCCCAGCCAATGAGATGGTCCCATCCACATTCAGGATAGGTCTTCCCTCATTAGTGTAACTCTCTGGAAATATTCTCATGGACATGCCCAGGAGTGTGTCTCCTAAGGGATTGTAAATCCAGTCAAACTGATAGTGAAGATTAATCATCAAGAATCTTCTGATTGTTGACTTGACATGCAGACACATCACTTTGAAGTGCAATATTTCACTCTTCATCTTCAAAGGCTTCTGACCATCAGGTAATGCAAAATGCAATTAATTAATCTGTAAGAGTTCAAAAAATAAAAATATAATTATTAATTCTTTGAGAACTTCATATAGTGTATTTTAGCCATAATCCCCATCCCCCAGCTCCAATCCCAACTCCTCCCCATCCCCCCACTGTGTCCAATATGTGTTGCCCAAATACTCTTGGGTGTGGAACCTGCACTAGACTGTGGTCTACCTACTTGGACTTACATCCTTAAAGAAAACTGACTCTTTCTCTTTCAGTAACTGTTAAATATCAATAGCTCCACAGCTGGTGATGGGAGATCATGCCCACTTTTCCCCCTCCATGATGGGATTTTGTCTGGCTTGAGCAGGTCTTGTGCATGCTCTCAAAATTACTGTGACTTCATATGTGCAACAACCCTCCGGCCTGGAAAACACTCTGTTTCTTTGTAGTCATCTACCACCTCTGGCTCTAACAGTCTTTCTGCCCCCTCTTCTGAAAAGTTAGTGCCCTGTACCTTAAGGAGAGGGGTGTGATATAGATATCCTGCTTTGTGCTGAGCACTCAACAGTCTCTTATTCTCTGTACATTGACCAATTGTGGGTCTCTGTGTTAACTGCCATCTATTGCAAGAAGATGCTTCTCTGATGAGGGTTGAGAGATATTCTAATCAATGAGTACAGTGATAAGTCATTAGGAGTCATTTAATACTGTCTCCATTTAGTAGAGTATTAGTGGCAGCTTCTCCCCCAGTGCCCATGACCTTTTTAACTACAGATTCTTGGCCTTAACAATAATGGTGCCAGGTATGGGTTCCATGTCTTGCAGCAGGCCTTAGATTCAGTCAGAGGGTGATTGGTTGCTACCATAATCTTTACACTATTGCACTCGTGGGCATATCTTGCCCACAGTAGATATTATAGTTTGGAGTTCACAGTTGGGTAAAAGTGATGATTGTTTTTCTCCTCTGATAGCAAGCATAGCCCCTTCCAGCACTGTGAAAGCTAGTCAGTAGAGATAAAACTTCCAGGTCAGTGCCCACTTGATTTTTTTCCATGTTCTGTGACTCAAGTATGTGATGTCTTCAGCAATGGGGTATTACTCTCAACTTCTGGAGGGTAACTGAGAGCAGTGGCAATAGTCTGTAATGTTTGAAGGTGCAGGGGATCCCACTGGTCAACAACTCAATTAGAGCTAATTCATTCCTGGTACTGGGGTTTTTATTTGCTAGGATGAGGTGTCTAGTTGGGCTGTTGTATGCCTGTTATACGGTAAATCCACTGAAACACTTTTTATATATGCATATGCATCTGTTTTAGTGAACTTCTACAGTAGTAGGTTTTATGTGCTTCTACAAAAGTCTTTAGTGTTAGTTATCCCTCCCCATCGTCCCTCTTTTTCCCTGCCCATCCCACTTAATCCTTCCTGTTCCATTATTTTCATTCCTCCCTTTATATCACTGTAGTCTATCACCCTTCCTTTGGAGTCAGATGTGCTTTTGTTGCACCACGATGACTCTTCCCTCCATCCACACCCCATGGCCCCTTACTAGTGTCTTAATTCTCAGGTATTCCAAATGAAACACATGCATCTAAAAGATTCAAAGCGAACATCCACATGTGAAAGAGAACATGTGGTGTGTGTCTTTCTGGGTCTGGGTTACCTTGTTCAGGATGATTGTTCCCAGTTCTATCCATTTGCCTGTGAGTTTCGTAATTTCATTTTTTTAAACAGATGAATAATATCCTGCTGTGTAAATGTACTACATTCTTCTCATCCATTATCAGTTGATGGATATCTAGGTTGTTTCCAATTCCTGGCTATTGTGAGTGCAGCAGCAATGCACATGGATGAGCAGGTATCTCAGTCATAGGATATAGAGTCCTTTGAGTATATGCCTAAGAGTAAGATAGTTGAATATTTTGTTAGATTTATTTCTCACTTTTTGAGGAACTTCCACACTAATTTTCATAGTGGCTGCACCAGTTTGCATTCCCACCAGCAGTGAACAAGTGTTCCTTCTTCTCCACATTATACCAGCTTTTCTCATTATTTGTTTTCTGGATCTTAGCCATTCTGATTTGGCTAAGATAAAGTCTCAAAGTAGTTTTAATTTGCATTTCCCTGAGGACTAAGGATGCTGACATTTTTAAAATGTTTCTCAGCAATTTGTATCTCATCTTTGGAGAACTCTGCTTAGTTTCATGCTATTTTTTAATTAGGTTGGCTGTTTTCTTGATAATTAGTTTTTTAGTTCTTTGTATATTCTAGATATTAACCCTCTGTCAG